GCACGCATTCTCATCTCATCCATCCCATCCATCAAAAGATAAAAGACATTAAATATAAAAAATTAAAATTAAAAAGTAAGAAATTAAAATAATACATACTAAAGAGGGAAAAAAAGGAAAAAAAAGGAAAAATATTGTTCCCAGCTGGGACTCCAACCCGGAATCCCGGTGTAGGAGACGTGTGTTCTAGCAATTAGGCCACTGTGCGTTAAGCAGTATACCCATGGGTTCACACGTACGTGAGTTAAAGTGATTACGTCACCGTAAATGGCTAAAAAAAACCCTTTTCACAAAATGTAAGTGATTCTGTCACTTTTTTATTGTTAAATTGCTGCATTATACTTCTTATTTTACTATATTGTTCGTTGATACCATAGCAAGCAATTAATGTTATGAACACTAATATCAAATCGTCCAGGTTTTTGGATTTTTTGCTAGTTGAGAAAACAATTCTATCAGGTGCGAATTTGACGATACGTTATAGTCCGTTAGTTCTTACTTTTAATGTAAAAAAATGGCAACAAAATTTTACACATTTTACCATAGAGAATTCGTGACGTAGCCACTTTGATCTGTACCGCACGCCGTCATCTATTGATGAATAGAATTTTATTGAATTTTAAACTTTTAAACTTTTTAAAATTTTTGTTTCAGCCAGAACCACTTCTCAAACGTCCTGATTCTGAAAATATCTTTAGTTTTCCTCTAGGCTGCGGAGTTCTCTAGTTATGCGAGTACGAACTAATTCGGCTGAACAATTTCATATATATAGACAAGACCAAGAGTAGATAAATAACAGAGTGAAACAACCGATTCCCGCATTTTTAACGCGAATTTTCTCATCAAAATTTACCACCAATAAAGAAGCAAGTGTATGCGTTCCTCAGCTTATTATGACACTAATCACTCACCTTCGTGGTATTGTATTCGTTTACATATATTTGCTAGCGTATTGCTGTAAATCGTAATCTTGCACGAGCTGAATTCGCACGATTTACCGCTGTTGTTGTGACGTGTTTAGCCATTATTTAGAAGCTATCGGGCGCGTAATATTTAGCAACGAACGGTTTCCAAATCATTCGTGCCCCGTAGGGTGAGAGACAATCTAAATTTCGAATTTTGATCTCGTGAAGAGCCTCGCGAGACGAGCTCAGTTATTGTGATCGCAACACAAGAAATTGACATACTATCTTACATAAGTATAATACAATAATAACAATATTCTCTGTAGTAGTTTGCAGTAAGTATCACATTACGCACGCGCAGGTAATCAAGTACATTAAACCCCTATCGGGGCACGCATGATTTGGAAACCGTCCGTTGCTAAATATTCGCGCACCGATAGCTTCTAATAATGTCTAAACAGCTCGCAACAAGTCGCCATTTTAGCGGTAAATTTATCGAATTCAGCTCGTGCAAGATTACGATTTATAGCAATACGCTAGCAAATATATGTAAACGAATATCAGTACCACGAAGGTGAGTGATTAGTGGTCATAATAAGCTGAGGAACGTATACACTTGCTTCTTTATTGGTGGTAAATTTTGATGAGAAAAATCGGTTAAAAATGAATAAAATTTATCTACTCTTGACAAGACCCATACTACCCTACTTATAATAAATACCCTATTAAACTAAAAGTAATCTGGAAGAAATATAAGGTGTTATATAAATGCTTGCAGGGTAATCTATTTATTTAATTAATTAATCATTATTAATTAGTAATTAATTCATATATATAATAATAATAATTATTAATTTATGTAATTATTAATGTATTTATTTACGTGTAAGTACCACACTCACCATATCGAGCGGTGTGTAATCTTCCTTCGCCGGATCTTCGTTGAAAGCCAGTCTGTAGGTGGCCACTGTGCCGATTAGTCTGATCTCGTAAATATCAATCGGCGCCACGGCAAGAAGAACCTTAAAAGCAGTGGCTCAGTGACAAAGGGCAAGGTCAATCGTCGCCGAGTCAAGGTCACCGAATACGAAAATACCGCGAAGTCAAAACTGACTCAGCTCTTTTTAACTGTTGCGAACGCTGGTTCGCACCTAGCATCTCTCTAACTACATATATATACAAACACACACACGCGCGCCACGGTCAAATATAACATATATAAATCGGCGAGGGCATTGTCAAGCTGAAGCTGCCCATGTTTGCGCTAGCCGCACGCACCTGCACGTATGTCGTGTTCGGTTCGAACACCAGCGGTAACCAGCCGCTATCCCCCGGCCGAATTCCCTCCGCTGGCTGACCGTCGTTGTCCGTAATCTGACCACTCGGTATGAGGAACGGGTCGGTCATGCCATCTGTCTTCAGGCACGGCGGCGCTGTCTCTTCAAGCATTATAGGCTCTGTCGATGCATGCGGAGAGCGAGATGAGATATTATAGAATTAGAGAGAGAATTATATTGCGATGATATACAATTATATTGCAAGGAGATACAAATATATTGCGACGAGATACAATTATATTGCGATGACATACAATTATATTGCAAGGAGATACAAATATATACATAGAAAGACGGTAACGTAGAAAGACAGTAACATAGAATGACGGTAACGTAGAAAGACGGTAACGTAGAAAGACGGTAATATAGAAAGACAGTACCATAGAAATACGGTGACGTTTGGTTTAACTCATTAACTTATCTCATTAACTTATTAGGACACTTGCGCATCGCTGAGTAGTGGTTTGCACACGCACACGCAGTACTGCGTGCTATCCCTTTGTTTACGCCATTTTATTCTAGATAGGTAATCGATACAAAGATAGCAAGTAAATGCCACGCAACGTACGTATACCTTTGTTTATGCCATTTCAATATAGATACGCAGTCGATACAAATAAAGATGGCAAGTCAATGCAGCGGGGGTAAATGTAAAGCTGAAAATATAGAAAGCTGATAGCATCTTACCGACTGGCGCTTTGAAGCAGGCGACTATCTCAAGCGTCACGTTCAGCCGCTGGTTCACACTGGTCGTACCCAGAGGGAAGATGCGTATACTGCGCGCTTTCTTGGGCTTCGTAAACTTTACAGGCATCGAGAATGTCTGCGTGATTCGAATGAAATGTGAGAGATAGATTTTTAGTCCATCGGTGTAAGTACTGCGAAATTCGCAACTACTAATTATAGTGACGTTTGCTGTCGACCCTCTTCTAAAAAACTTCTTCGAAATATTCGCTCTATAATTCTAACCATACCTACGATATTACCCTATCCTATTATACATATACTAGCGGGATACCCGGCGTTGCCCGGGGAAATCAGTGGCGTTACTGAGTTGGTGACCGCTTGATTAAAAGGAAAATACCCCAAAAAATCTAACTATCTATCTATCCATGCATGCATGCATCCATCCATCCCATTCCATGCCATCCAATCTCATTCTATCGCACCGCATCTCATCTCATCCCATCCCATCCCATCAAAAGATAAAAGACATTAAATATAAAAAATTAAAATTAAAAAGTAAGAAATTAAAAATAATACATACTAAAGAGGGAAAAAAAGGAAAAAAGGGAAAAATATGTTCCCCAGCTGGGACTCCAACCCGGAATCCCGGTGTAGGAGACGTGTGTTCTAGCAATTAGGCCACTGTGCCGTTAAGAGTATACCCATGGGTTTACACGTACGTGATGTTAAAGTGATTACGTCACCGTAAATGGTAAAAAAACTACCTTTTCACAAAATGTAAGTGATTCTGTTCACTTTTTATGGTTAAATTGCTGCATTATACTTCTTATTTTACTATATTGTTCGTTGATACCCATAGCAAGCAATTAATGTTATGAACACTAATATCAAATCGTCCAGGTTTTTTGGATTTTTTGCTAGTTGAGAAACAATCTTATCAGGTGCGAATTTGACGATACGTTTAGTCCCGTTAGTTCTTACTTTTAATGTAAAAAAATGGCAACAAAAATTTTACACATTTTACCATAGAGAATTCGTGACGTAGCCACTTTGATCTGTACGCACCGCCGTCATCTATTGATGAATAGAATTTTTATAAATTTTAAACTTTTAAACTTTTTAAAATTTTTGTTTCAGCCAGAACCACTTCTCAAACGTCCTGATTCTGAAAATATCTTTAGTTTTCCTCTAGGCTGCGGAGTTCTCTAGTTATGCGAGTACGAACTAATTCGGCTGAACAATTTCATATATATAGACAAGACCAAGAGTAGATAAATAACAAGAGTGAGACAACCGATTCCCGCATTTTTAATCGATTTTTCTCATCAAAATTTACCACCAATAAAGAAGCAAGTGTATACGTTCCTCAGCTTATTATGACCACTAATCACTCACCTTCGTGGTATTGATATTCGTTTACATATATTTGCTAGCGTATTGCTGTAAATCGTAATCTTGCACGAGCTGAATTCGCACAATTTACCACCATTGCGTAGACGTGTTCAGACAACTTTTGAAGCTATAGGGGCGCCAATATTTAGCAACGGACGGTTGTATGTCAATTTCTTGTGTTGCGATCACAATAGGCGCGTTCACACGGACATTTTTGGCCCGAGCCTAATTAGGCCCGTCCCAGT